GCACATCGATGACAGACTTCTAGTCGTTTTGCACGACGTTTCTTTGCAAAAGTGCTTTTACCTGTTCCAGGCATGTGTGAAATAAAGAAATTAGAGGACTCACCTGATAATCGGACCTTTGCTTCAATCAACCAACGAATATCTTCAGGAATTCCATGATTCATTAACAATCTCAATCTTGCACATCTAGCACGGTAAATTTTTGTAATCGCATTCTGAGGCAGAGCGGGAAAATACTTTTTCAATTTTTCAAGATTAGTGTCCATTTTCAAATGAGAATTAGAAGAGAGATTCAAAGAATTGCACAAATATATACACAAATATCAGTTATTGTGGGAAACTGAAAGAACCGACTTAAGTCACGGAGTACCGTTATCCGCCATTTGACCGGGGTGAGAGAAACTAGCAAAAATCACTCAAAAAGAAACACAAAAACAATGTGAGAAAAACAAAATAATCAACCTTTATCTACAAGATCATTCAAACCAGCTGATTCATTTTCACTAGGAAAATTATCAAAGTAAGCTTTCAAACGATGTCCATTTTCCTTAAAATCATTGTCATTCATTGAATTCTCAATATCACAGGCCCCATAAGGATTGGTCCATCTTAATCTTAGCTCTTTAGGGAATGCATAGAGTTGAGAATCATAAAACAAAACTTTTTGACCAGTGTCAATTTTTTGACAATTTTCACAAGTTTTGCAGAATGCATGTGTGTCCTTGAACATGGTGGGCCAATAAAATCCATTTTGAAAGATTTTTGCAGCAGTCTTTTTTGACGAGAAATAACTTCCACATGCTTCAGAATGACAAAGTTTAATGACACTACTTACCTCATTGTCGGGAATGAATCTTTGAAATATTTGATCAGGACAATATTTGAATAAGTTAGGGTCATCACAATAAAAGCTCTTCACTTCGTTCAAAAACTTTTCTTTGTCTTGGGTACTCCAATCAGCTAGCAAATCTCCTAAAGCAAGAAAATTAATATTTTTATCATACCAAGGCATTGAACTAAGAGAAAGTAAGGATTTGTTAGGAAAGTAATCATCGATTGGTGTGATGTCAGATGTCGAATCTGTTGTCACTGTTGACAAAAGATTCGCATCAACATTTTCGGTGCTTGTTTCATTCGTGATTTCTTCCTCAGAATAAACCATTTGCAAATCTTCAGTTTCATCCAATTCATTTTTACTTAAAGTAGATTCAAGTTGATCATAAACTAATTCATCAATATGATCTACTTCTTGTAAATCATTATCATCTCCAGGTTGCTTGCAAATGTTGAAAATATTCATCTCCAATGTCATGTTTCCAAATGATAGCTTCATCAGTCCATTCCTACAATTAATCAATGCGTTAGAGGTTGCAAGAAACGGACGTCCTAAAATAACAGGAAATGAATTACATGCTTCAACAGGTTCTGTGTCCAAGACAATAAAATCCACAGGATAAATGAATTTATCGACTTGTACTAACACATCTTCAATTATTCCTCTAGGCACTTTTACAGATCTATCGGCAAGTAAAAGAGATATAGAAGTTGGTTTTAACTCACCTAGATTGAGACTCTGAAAAACTGAATATGGAAGTAAATTCACACTAGCACCAAGATCAAGTAAGGCTCTTTCAATTTTATGCTCTCCAATAAAGCAAGAAATTGTAGGACAACCAGGGTCTTTATATTTCAAAGCATTATTATTCTGAAGAATAGCACTTACTTGTTCGGCTAGAAAGGCTTTCTTTTTCACATTCAGTTTCCTCTTCACAGTGCATAGATCTTTCAAAAATTTAGCATAGGAAGGAACCTGTTTAATAGCATCCAGCAAAGGTATATTGATCCTTACCTGTTTGAAAATTTCATAAATTTCAGAATTGTGATTGACTTTCCTTTGTTTGGTCATGGCTTGAGGAAATGGAAGTGCTGGCGGTGAATCAGTCGTTTCTTTGCAATTTTCAGATTCAACCCCTTCCTTACCCTCAAAGATTGACTCATCATCTTTCTCATAAGGTTCAAGAGAGGGTTTTTCAATAACCTTACCACTGCGCAGAGTAGTGACTGATTTGACTTGATCCATGTGTTGGCTTCCGGAACTACTTGCATTTGCATTGTATTGCCCTTTGGGATTTTGTTGTGTTTGAGATGGAAACTTACCTTTCTCTTGGAAACTGAGAGCAGATGTTAATTTTGCAAGAGTATCTTTAAAATCTGTCATGTTTTGAGCAAGTTGAGTATTGATTGTCTCTTGCTTTTCAATGAATGCATGCAATGTTTCCTCAAGATTTCTTCTAGGAGGTGGAGCATAAGGAGGTGCATATCCATGAGAATTTTGGAAATTATGGTGTGCTTGAAACGGTGGTTGTGAAGTTTGTGCATTGTCACTCTTCCAACTGAAATTTGGGTGATTCCTCCAACCAGGGTTGTATGTTTGGGAGTATGGGTTGTGGTTGGCCCTTTGAAAACTGTTTAAAGCATGGGCTTGTTCATGGAGACATTCTTTAAAAGAAGGCAAGGTTGGACAATCGTTGGTTGAGTGTTCATTTGTTTCACAGATTTGACACACAATGTTTTCAACAGATTTTAATTGACCACTCTTTTTCAATTCTAGTGCCTCGACTTTTCTAGCTAAAGATGCAAACTTGGCTTGAAGGTCATGATCTTCCCTAAGGTTGTACATACCTCCACTAGATGTATGAGGTTGAGTTTTACTCGGTGCCTCACAAGTACCCGCGGTGTCCCAATTTTGAGCATTTTCAGCTAACAAGTCTAAGTACTCCATTGCTTCATCAGGGTCTTTATCTTCAAAAGTTCCATTGCACATCAATTCAACCATTATTAATAGTGCTCGGGCTGGAAAACAGATTCAGACTTCTTTGTTTTTGCTACAATTTGGACTTGAAAATGACTTTTTTAGATCTTGGGCTCCATATGAAAGTTGTAGGCCTATGTCTTACCTTTCCATCCATAAAAAGTAGACCTAAATATGAGATCTACAGCTCTAGATAGGATCGAATTACCGAACAATGTTCTGTTTTGGACTGCACCGGTATCTCTTTTCTAAGTTTGGCCATCTCTTTATCCTTGCAATTTAAGTTCTTCAAGTCATCAATCAATCCTTTCATTTATGTGATAGGCCTACATTAAAAATAGACATTTACCACAAATTATAGGTATCTTATATTATTAGATACATTATTATAAAACATATTTTAGTTAAGGAGTTATTGATACTTCAAGTGCAAAATGATGATATAAAACCATGATAAAAATGCACTTTTAAGTACTAATCACACCCCCCAACCAGCTTATTACTAGTCCCTAGTAATCAAAGCGTTAAAATAGAACTGGCCTTTTTTTTCCAAAAACATTCAAAAAATTAAAAAATCCTTTGAAAAAAATTATGATTTTCTCACATATTTTTCTACCAATTTTGTATAATATCGAGTTGTATATTTACATTGTAAAATACAAATCCAGTATTAAAATACTTGGTTTTCTCTAAAATATTTCAAAAACAAATTCAAAACATTTTCATAAAGAAAAAAAATATTTTATTGCATAAGGCCAAATCCTAAAATTCTTCTAAGCATATTTTTCATTAAAAAAACAACAAAAATTGCATCTTTCTCATGTTTTGAAAATCTAAAATATGGATATCATAACCAGTTTATGATCATCCATTAGGGTTTGACCAAAATATATAAAAATATTTTTCCAACCTTTTTTTTCTAGGGTCCAAATGTAGATTTTAATATTTGTGGGGTGTAAAATTACACGATAAAGTAAACCCTCAGGTATTAAAGATACAAGATGTAATTAAATGCGATGCTAAAATTCAGACTTTAGAACAATTAGGATTTAACCTGATAAGGTAGAGACTCTCTCATCAAGAGAGATCTACCTTGAGCTTTAGAAAAGACCAACAAATAGAAACCTAACTAAGGGAAAAAAAACAATCAAATAACAATATAGCTTACCTTAGGTAGGGTGCATTAGAGGTGATGCATTTTCTCCTTGCACAACTAGTTCCTTACTCAGACTCTCGCATACCATAAGTTCCTAGTGATCATAATACTAGGTGACGACTCCTAAATATTAATCATAATTTTATGATTAAAACCAAAAAGCCTTCCCAACACACAACACCTCACACAGGAGGCGTGACAGGAGCCTCCGCTGTCGCCAGACGACGTCGCCTCGTGACAGGATGGCTACTTCACTGGGGACCACCTTGTTTGGTTGGACTAAGCTTTGCTTGTTTCGTTGTTTGCCTTTTTGTTGGTATTTAATTTTAGCTCGTAGTTTTACTACTTTAGCATGCATTTTAATTTCGCAAGTAAATCTAATTTTAGGTTAGGTGGGGAGTAGTGGTCTGCCTCATGACTTTTAGTCGGGGTTTAGATTTGTGAAACATCCAACTATAAGTTAAGTGTTTACTCGGTGGTGGCGGTCACACTATACCCCAACCATTCCTTGTAAACCCATATACTACCTTCACGTGAGGAGGTCATTTTGCAGTTCACGAACCCTTTTAAGACTAGGTAGAAAGCTTACCCATCAAGTAATGACCTAGAACCTTCCGTTAGAGCATGAACTCCCTACATAGTCATTCTGTATAGGTTTTTGCCATTTATACCCAATGTGCATGTATATGCATTTGCACCCACACACATACATCCATCTATTGTAGATAACGTATATACATGTAACATGTTAAAATATAGGTCCCCAAAGAGTTTACAACACCCGACTCTAAGCAAGAAACATGGAAGATGAAGAGCGTGCTCACTGTAAAGCCCATTTCCAAGAAGAGTTAGAGTCTCTGAAAGCAAGCCTGGCTCGCCTCATTACTTTACTTTAGCAAACATTTAGAAATGCCTCTAGTGAAGTCCTTCCAACAAGCCAACTATTTCTGTTCAGCTTTCGGCAACAGCTCAACACAAAGAAACAATGAGTGAACTGTTCAGCCTTTAGCAATAGCTCAACCCAAAGAAACAATGAGTGAACATGGTCAAGAACCTCCATACAATCCAACATTTATGCACTCAATGCCATCAACACCAGCTCCTGTAGTCATAGATGCATTTTCCAATGAGTCTCACAAGACTAAGTCATCCAATGGCATTGACTAAGATAAGATGACAGCACTAGAAGCTAGAATCAGAGCCATTGAAGGGGTGGACTTGTACGATCTAATACGGGTAGCAGAAATGTGTTTGGTCCCAAATGTGGTTGTCCCGAAGAATTTTTTTATTCCTGAATTCATCAAATATACTAGAACACAATGCCCCATGACTTATCTCAAATCTTACTGCAACAAGATGGTATAAATAGTACATGATGAAAAACTACTGATGCACTTTTTTCAAGATAGCTTGAGCGGAGCGACATTGAGCTGGTATATGAGATTGGACAACACAAAGATCAAAAAACGGAAAGACTTGGTAGATGCTTTTGTGAAGCAATACAAGTACAATATGGACATCACTCCTAATAGAACTAGTTTGTCAAATTTAGAGAAAAGGGATAAAGAAAGCATAAGGGAATATGCTCAAAGGTGGAGAGACCTAACTACTCAAATACATCCTCCACTGTTGGATAAAGAGATGGTGACTCTATTTGCCAACATGCTCAGGGCACCATACTATGAGCATGTGATGAGTAGTTCGGCCCAGCAATTTACTGATGTTGTGGCAGTAGCTGAGTGCATAGAGCAAGGAGTAAAGAGTGGTAAAATCTCTACACTTATAGAGAAAAGGGGCTTCAAAGGTAAAAAGAAAAGGGTTGACTATATTGAGGGTAGGAAGAACCCATTCTAAAAATACCACACTCCATCCTCTTTACCCTAAATCGCCAACATCAATCTCAATCCTTCTTTTCCTACCAGAAAATCTGAGTCTAAGACCAAACACCAAAGAATCCAAGAACAGCTACCTCCATTATCGCTGCCCTTAAATGAGATGTACTAAAAGCTATTAAGTATTGGATATATAGCTACAAAACTTTAGACACCTCTACAACCACCTTACCCTAACTGATACAAGCTCGACCTCACTTGCGAGTACCATGTTAGCACTGTGGGACACGATAGTAATACTTGTAGTACCTTCAAAAAGAGGCTCATTCATTTGATTAAAACTGGATGGATAACCTTTGAAGAAACTCCAAACATGAGTTCGAACCATCCCTCTAATCATGCTTCAGGTCCTGGATCAGTGAACGCATTGGAGGTGGAATGCTCTAAAAACCTCAAAACACTAATGGAAAGAGTTGGATGTAGTGTGCATTCTCGAGGATAGAGGAGGAAGTTCTACCATAAGATGCCCTTAATAATCGCCTCTGTTTGATCATGTCTGTTAAGTTATTTTGATTTTGTCATATTTTAACCTATTGGCAATTTAACTCATAATGCCACAAGACTCTCTATCAAATGAGTCTTTTTTGTTAGTAAGATCATATGTTCATAATGTGCCTTTATTTTTTGTTGTTTCATGTATTGAGCACACTCTGTATTCACAAAACCACTGCACCATGAATTCTTTGGTGTTTTTCTTTTTTCCCTCTCTTCAAAAAAAAAGAAGAATAATCCCATGTTTTCACAAGAATTTTTGGGAAATCAAAGTTTTAATACAAAAATAAAAATTAAATTGGTGTTTGTTATAATAAATAAGTTCTGAAAATTCAAGTGATATCCTAATAAAGCTTAAAAGACAACCCAAACACCATGAGATAACTTCAAAGCTAAGTTTTGACTACGTGAATAAACCTTTTGCGTATTCGCATGTGAGAAAGCAAAGCTTGCCAATTCTGAATGAATGCATTTAAAATGAAGAAAGGCCATCTTTGATCATCCTTTCACAATGTTAAAAATACTTTGTAGTCCCCTTTTGAGCCTATTAACTTTTTCTTGAAAAAAATAACTTTGGCAAGCCTTGCGTATTCGCATGTGAGAAAGCAAAGCTTGCCAATTCTGAATGAATGCATTTAAAATGAAGAAAGGCCATCTTTGATCATCCTTTCACAATGTTAAAAATACTTTGTAGTCCCCTTTTGAGCCTATTAACTTTTTCTTGAAAAAAATAACTTTGGCTAGGATCACACCCTACACGGGGGGGCAAGTGTACAAAAAAAAAATCCTTAATGACTAAAAATACCCAAACTAATTTGGGGGGCATGAAAAAGTCCTCAATGATATAAAGTGTCCAAACAAATTTGGGAGGCGTGAAAAAGTCCAAAAAAAAGGGATTTGAGAGTGCCACAAAAATCATTAATATAATGTAGCTCAAAACCAAAAGAAGAAAAAGCCTAACATCGGGGGGCACTTGACATGACTAAAAGATCGATGTTTTCTCCCAAGTGCAAGAGTGTCGAAGTAATAAATAACCCGGCAAGACCGGGGTCGAACCACAAGGAGGTTAATTGTATAAATTATAGATCACAATTACCAAACAGTGTTTTGGTTTGGACTGCACCAACATCTCTTTTCTAAGTGTGGCCATCTCTTTGTCCTTTCAATTTCAGTTCTTAAATTCATCAATCAATTCTTCATTTATGTGATAAGCCTGCATTTAAAATGAAAATTTACCACAAATTAAAATTATTTTATATTATTAGATATGTTATTATAAAACATGATTTAGTTATGGAGTTATTGATACTTCCAGTGCAAAATGATGATATAAAACCTTGATAAAAATGTATTTTTAAGTACTAATCACACCCCCCAACCAGCTTATTACTAGTTCCTAGTAATCAAAGTGTTAGGGTCGCAGATACTGATATGTAGATAGTGCAATGTTTGATTCCCTTAAGCTTTTCTCCTCAACCCATGTAACAAGCGTTGGGCCAATAGCTCCCAAGTCAGTTGACTTTAGGGTATTAGGTGTTAAAACACCCCTTCGGGCTTAATTGCTTAGGTTAGGGAGGCTACGAAACCAAACTTATCTATATTTTTATTATCATCATTTTTTTTTCTTTTTCTTTTTCTTTTTTTTTTCATTTTTTTTTATGTTTTTTTTTTCTTAATTATATACAATCCCTTTCCCTTAGTTGTTACCTTTAACAAAAGAACATAAATAATGTAATAATCCAATATGCAACCCACAATCATATGTTAAAGTGTGTGTGTGTAAATTAAGGTTTAAGAATACATGTTAAATAAGTATATGAGCAGAATTAAGTGGTAACAATACGAGAGTTTGTAAACCTGAATATTTCAGGAAATATTATAATAGACCTTATTAATAATGGTTATTAAGATGTGTCTTAATTTTAACAAAAGAGCTCTTTACTCTGCTATCCTAGTAACAACAATTTTCCACATGCTTTATAAAATGAAAAATACAGTTAGTTAACTTTTTTTTGTTAACTACCCTCTCTTCCTAACCAAAATGAGGCATTGTCCTCAATGTCCTAAAGTAGAAAGATAGAGTATAGAAGACATCACCTAAAATAACAAACACTGACAAACCTAAAACACACTTAAACACTGACAAAACCTGAAACACACTGAAACAAAAATAAGAAATAACAAAACATAATAATAAAACCAAAAGACACAAAAATTCACAAATGAAGGCTCAAATCCAATCTAAGCTTTTTACGGCTTTCCTTAGATGACCAATTTATGCGACTCATGGAAGGATCAATCACAGGAATGAAAGATTGTAGTTGGTCAATCAATTGTTCAGCAGTAGTAGCAGAGATTATGATTTGTCGTGCAGAAGATGTTAGAAATTCCTGTTCCACAGCATGATCAAGAAAAGACAACAACTTATCATAATAACCATTAACATTTAACAAACCTATGGGTTTATGGTGAATGTGCAATTGAGCCCAAGAGGAAATATGAAAGATCTCTTCCAATGTGCCTAGACCACCTGGTAAGGTAATGAAGGCATCAACATGGTTAAACATTTCATTCATTCGAGCAGACATTGTGGAGACTTGTAGTTCTTCTCTAATTGTGTTTCCAATGATGTTCTTTTGTGTTAAAGCTTTGGAGACGACCCCCAAAACTTGACGACCTTCTAAAAATACAGTTATTGACACACCTCCTATTAGCCCAAGACTGCCTCCCTATACACTAAATGAATCTTTCTCTCAGCTATTACCTGACCAAGATGATTTGCTGATTCTAAAAACTCCTTTTCTTTCCCAGGACTAGATCCACCAAAAACACAGATATTTCTTATTTGATGACTTGAGGAACTTGCCATTTCTACACATTTTTATAGTTGTTGAATGTATGGGTTGAGTTAAAATGAAAGGAAGGTAGAGAGGATTTTATAAAATATAACTTAAGCATTACAAAAATACAAAGAGAGAAAGCAAGAGCATGATCTTAATATGAAAACTGAAACAAAAATAAGATATAACAAAACACAATAATAAAACCAAAAGACACAAGTTTTTACAAAAAAAAAAATTCAAATCGCAGTTGTGAATGTGGCTCACATCTTCCCTTGGTTTTATGTCCAAGAACGGCTTAAACGCCCTCTATGGGTCGGGGATAGGCTTCCCATCTAGTTTTCTTAAAAACTGGCAAACATGGTTTTTTTTAGTCAGATTCTTAAGCTATGCCAAACATATTCTTTATGAAAATAGGTTCATAAGTCATGAATTGCATGATGCTTATCTCGACTATGATGAGACTTAAGAGTCAATAGAAGATTATCTAAAGACTCTTTGTGTTTTGAAATAAATCCCACCTTTTGTTAATTTTCATAGGTTTTGCGGAATGCATATGATTCCTTGAAGATGGTAGGCCAGTAAAATCCACTTTGTAAGATTTCTACAACGCTGGTTTTTTTACAAGAAATGATCCCTACGTGCCTATGAGTGACAAAATTTAATGACATTACTTACCTCATTTTCGGGAATGCATCTTGAAAATATTTGATTAGGGAAATAATTGAATAAGTAAGGGCATCCCAATAATATTTTTGCACGTCGCTCAAAAATTTTCTTTTGCCTTAGTTATCCAAATGAGCTGGCAAAAATCCTGAAGCAAGAAAATTGATATTTTTAGCAAACCAAGGCATTGAATTAAGAGAAAGTAGAGATTCATCAGGAAAGTAATAATTGATTGGTGTGATGTCGGGTGTCGAATATGTTGTCACTTTAGATAAAAGATTCGCATCAACCTTTTCGATGCCTTTTTCATCCTCAATTTCTTCCTGATTGGTCATGGCATGAGAAAATGGAAGTGCTGGCGGAGAATCAGTCGTTTCTTTGCAATTTTCAGATTCAACCCCTTCCTTTCCCTTAGAAATTGACTCATCATCTTTCTCATAAGGTTCAAGAGAGGGTTTTTCAATAACCTTACCACTGCGTAGAGTAGTGACTGATTTGACTTGATCCATGTGTTGACTTCCATAACTACTTGCATTTGCATTGTATTGCCCCTTAGGATTTTGTTGTGGTTGAGATGGAAACTTACCTTGCTCTTGAAAATTGAGAGCAGATGTGAATTTTGCAAGAGTATCTTTAAAATCTGTTATGCTTTGAGCAAGTTGAGTGTTGATTGTCTCTTGCTTTTCAATGAATGCATACAAAGTTTCCTCAAAATTTCTTGTAGGAGGTGGAGCATAAGGAGGTGCATATCCATGATAATTTTGGAAATTATGGTGTGCTTGAAACGGTGGTTGTGAAGTTTGTGCATTGTTGTTCTCACTCTTCCAACTGAAATTTGGGTGATTCCTCCAACCAGGGTTGTATGTTTGGGAGTATGGGTTGTGGTTGGCCCTTTGAAAACTGTTTAAAGCATGGGCTTGTTCATGGAGACATTCCTTAAAAGAAGGCAAGGTTGGACAATCGT